ACCCCCGCCGCCGGGGGCCGCTTCCTCAGCCTTGGGAACGTCCAGCAGGAGAGATACTGTTTCCAGAAACGGTCGCGATTAGCTTTTCGTTACAAGGGAGGGAAAAGTACAAAGTTATCAACTCCGGGAAGGCAGGGCCGGGTTTTCCTCCGGGTTCCGTGCACGCCCCCGTGAGCCGAGGACCCTGTGGAACAAAGTACAACTTGAGGAGCGGCCGCCGCGGTGACGAGGTCCCTGGGTGACGTCACCGTGCGATATTTAAAATGGGAGCTTTTCTCCGAGTGTGGGTGGAGGAACTGCGGCCACTTACTCGAGGCGCCCGAGGTCTGATGGGCCTGCTGGCTGCTGGCTCTCCCCTGGCCGCCTAACTCTCGCTCGTTTACCTTTTGGTACTCCTAGAGAATACCGACTGGTGGGCGGAGGTTCATTTTTCAGCTATTCCAGGCATCATGCCTTCAAACTGAAAATAAAAAACACTAATTCCATATGACTCATCCTGTGTTACAACCAACAGCAGCCACTAAGTGGTTATTTCCTTCCTTTTATTTTTGATATGAAACAGAGCAAAAATAAAAGGGAAAACAAAAACCCAAAACTCAGATACGTAGAGCATAGTTGGCAAATTTAATGAATGAGGAGAACGATCCAGTTACCAATTCGGTACATTTCTTGAGTGTGGTTCCTTGTTTTGTTTGGTGGGGCAGAGGCTAATGTAGTTCCATCAGCAACTTTTATCCCAAACCATATATTAACTTGCATTGGGTTTTCTTTTCCCTCATAACGCGGTTGAGCATAACTATAGCTTTATAACATGGAAATGGCGCACTTTTTTTCGGGAGGAGGCTGCGCGCAGTTGTGGAGGGCTGTGCGCTGCTGTGCAGCCGGGGACCTGGTGCCTGGTGGCTGGCCGCGGAAGGTGGATTTGGCATTCTAGGATTCCAGGAGGAAGGCTTGGGTGTCTTCCCATCCAGGATCAGGGTGGCTCTGGCTGCCAGCACACCTCTCAGATAACTATATAGAATTTATTGCACAGTGAGATCCCTTGTTTGAATTTGTACAAGAAGTAAAGGAATCATATTATGTAGAGAGACTTTTAAGAGCAGGTTTAAGAAAAGAAAAAGGAAGCTAACAGAATCACCTTTATTTTTTGAATGTGTGAGGACACAAACTATCAGGTTAGTTGGGTTTTTGCACTAAACATAGCAGAGGCTGTTAAGTCTTTAATAATTGACTTCAAAAAGGTGATGTTGCTTAGTAAATGGAGCATCTGAATAACTCCAAGTTACTTACAGCAGCCAAATGAATGAGCTCATCGCATAAAGACAGGATATACATTGAAACAACCCCAGGACAAGGTTGCTTTTCCTTTATGGATTAATCAATGATAAATCAGATCTGCCATTTTAAAGAGCCTTCCTTGAGGCACTTCCAAAATGCAGCTAAATCTCTGATTATTTCTTTTAGTTTGATTTTCTATAGATGACCCAGAGTTTTCATTCTCTTAAATAAGTTCTGATAGAGCCACTCTTTTTTGGCACATCTTTTAGGTAAGGATGTCTCTATTCCTGAAAGAATGCTTACCAGACACTCCATACTGGATTTTTTTTTTCTTTATGTATAGCAGCTTTATGGAAATACAATTCACATACAGTTCTTACATTTAAAATGTATAGTTTGTTGGTTTTACTATATTCACAGAGTTGTAAAACTATTACCACAGTCGATTTTAGGATATTCTCATAACCTCAAAAAGAAATGCTGTACTCATTGACATCACTCCTCCTTTCCCTACATCCCTCATACCCCTAAGCCACTAATCTACCTTCTCTCTATGTGGATTTGCCTGTTCTGGACGTTTCATATTAATGGAATTACACAATTTTGTTCTTTTTGACTTGCTTCTTTCCCTTAGCATAATGTATTCAAGGTTTACCCACGTCGTAGTGTTTATCAGTACTTCATTTTTGTTGCCGAATAATATTCCATTGCATATATATACCACATTATTTGTCCATCAATTTGTGGGCCTTTGGGTTGTTTTCACTTTTTGGCTATTATGAATAATGCTGCTATGGACATTTGTGTACAAGTTTTTGTGGACATATGTTTTCATTTCTCTTGAGTATGTAGCTAGGAGTAGAATTGCTGGGTTATATGGTAACCCTGTGTCTAACCTTAAAATGAACTTAAATTATTTCACAGAATTTTTTTTTAAATGTATGATTTTTAACTGAGCATATATATATATATATACACATATATATATATGTATATATATATATATATATTTTAATATATCTTTATTGATTTCAGAGAGGAAAGGAGAGGGAGAGAGAGAGAAACATCAATGATGAGTCATCATTGATTGGCTGCCTCCTGCACACCCCCGACTGGGGATCAAGCCTGCAACCTGGGCATGTGCCCTGACTGGGAATTGAACCCCGATTGCCTGGATCCTAGGTCGACGCTCAACCACTGAGCCACGCCTGGCCGGGCTCACAGAATTTTAAACTTAAGTTATTGAAGCTAAATAATGACACATTTAGTAAAAACAATATAGTGGTATTATTATAGTACTTCTCTGAATGATAACTCTGATTTTATTTTAACCAATAGGAGCAATTTGGTGTGTTCTCTTTACTGAATTTTTTCACAGAGCTAAGTAATAAGATTCTTAAATAGTATTTTATAAGTATTTTATATCTTTATGTATAATTTAGTGATTGTTCTCTACTTCAGAAATGAGACAATGAAACACAAGATAAAATTGGAAGGAGGAAGGAGAGATGCAAAGAAGGATATTTTTTAGAGCTTTATCTTCCAGTTTTTATGTTCTGTTTTGAGAAAAACTATTTTATCTTTGCAGGAAAGATGAAGAACGAAATTGCTGCCGTTGTTTTCTTTTTCACAAGGCTAGTTCGAAAACATGATAAGTTGAAAAAAGAGGCAGTTGAGAGGTTTGCTGAGAAATTGACTCTCATACTTCAAGAAAAATATAAAAATCACTGGTATCCTGAAAAACCATCAAAAGGACAGGCCTACAGGTAAAGGATTAGATTGGACTAAGTGAAGAGGCTAATCAGCTCCTGAAATGAATATAAAGCCAAAGGACTGACTGGTATATGTCCAGTCCGTACCTTTTGTAGTTTATCTGCAAAATACAGAACTCTGGGGTGTCTTGGTATTTTTTCCTCACTTATTTCAAAATACATGCATTTGTTGTTAGAGTCCCCCGCCTGGACTTGACAGCTCCCAAAAGTTAGTCTCCCAGAAGTTAGTTTTCTTGTAGTTATAGTTTGGCTCCTGTTTGAGTGCATTATTCTTTGTATCACAGGTACTTGGGGGTTTTCACAATTCTGGAGGTCCACTAAAGCTATCACCCATAAATGGGTATGGTAAGAGTTGAGGGAAATGAGTCTCCTTGAATTTAAAAATATGTTAGTTTTTTCAAAAGATAAAAATTTTACAGCAAATGGGAACTAAGATTATTAAACACTTATTATGTTCTTGACACAGGATTAATTGCATTTATACTCTGCGTAATTCTTTATGGTAGAAGCCTGTGTAACTTATTTTATAGATGAAGGTAACTTACCTAAGATCCACAGCTGGTAAATATTAGTGCTGAGATTTGAACTCAGGTCTAACTAACCCTAAATTCTTATGTGCTTTCTGTATGTACACCAAAGTGTGGCCACTATCTTGGCTCTGAGAGGTAAGGTAATTCTCACTTGCAGCTGTCTTTTGTACGCTGGTTTGTAAGTTACATTTACAGCTTCAAGTAAAGAAGAGCAGACTCCTGCAGAACATGTCCTAGCATGCTCACTCCCTAGTATTGATGTGACTACTTGGGAACCTAGGTTGAGAATGTTCTGGTAAACTATCTGTCAAACCTTGCCTCATTTGTGGATGTGGCCACAAAAAATAAAAGAACGGTTGTGGCTGTCATGATTACAAAAGTTCTTTTATTTATACATATTTCCTCCCCAAAGTATCTTCCACAAATGAGCACTTCTATGCGGTGATGTAAAACAGGCTTCCTTTCCAGTCACTGAGCTCTTGTAAGTTCGAGACTATTGAAAGAATCTACAAGGGAGATGAAAATACGATTTGTTTATTTCTTATTTGGTAAAAGCTCACACAAGGTGAACTTGTGTTCTCTCGGAAAAAAAAGAAAGTGGTAGATGTATTTTCCCCTGTGTTTTTACCCAAAGAAGTTTCCTGGTAAATTGGAAAATGTGGTGAGTTAAAGTAGAAATGTGGATGTTCTATCTAAAGCAGACTCAAGTTATTTTTTATCTTGTCACTTGATTCTTTTAATTTTTTTTTTGCACATCTTCATTACTGATAGAGTGAACAGCTTTTTTGCGTTAGAGCTGTTGAGGCTTTTACGCTGATGTAATTGACATTGGACGAAGGCATATGGAAATGCCAAGCCACCATACTATTACTGAAAAAGGAGACACTGTCAAGTAAATGCTTAAAGGTTAGACAGTGTATAATTTCATTTCCATTACTTCTAAAAACTTGAGGGGGAAAAGTTAGCCAAACAGGATTAAATTGGCATGTGATCAGAAGTATCATTATTAGGTCATTTTGAAGCTGTCTTTGAAGTAAAAAACTATTAGACTTAATGGTGGATCGTTACTATTATAAAAATGAATAAATTGTAGGATTAACAAGAGTTAGTATACTCTTCAATCCATAGAGTAGATTGGAAGTGTTCTTTTTCTTCTAAAGTGTTTATAAATTTAAATTGTTTCTCTGGAGTATATACAAATAAGATACTTTTGGAGGGCAATTTGGCATTATCAAAATCTGTAAAAATATTCATACTCTTGAACAGTAAGTCTTCTAAAAAATGTATTCTAGAAATGTAAGCAGAAATGCATACAAATATGTATGAATATGGATGTTTCTTACGTTATAATTGCAAAAAATTGGAAAGAACTAAACTGGTAACATTAAGTAATTGATAGACTATTTTAAAATCCTGTTTTTGAAGACTGGTTAATGGATAAGTAGTCACAGTATATAGAGTGAAAAACCATAAAATATGTAAGGTATGTAAATTTTGTTGAAGCAGAATCTCTATTTAAGCATCTATATTTACATATATATTTCTTTAAGCTTAGAGTCTACATCATTCTTGTACATAACAAAAACACATAATATCTAAGATCTCTCCTTACCCTTAACTGCTTTTGATTCTAGGGCACATGGGACTTTTGAATCAACGTACACAACATTAGAATGTGTATCATAGGGCCATCTTATAGAAAGGAACAAAGAGCATCTTACATGCTGTAAAATAATTTTTTTTCGCTCTAAATTTGCTAAATTGTTGACGATGTTAAGATAGGTAGAGACAGAATAGGGTGTTACGTAATAAAAATGAACTTTGGAGTCTGGTGGTCTAGCTTTGAACCTGGATTTACCACTTGGTATAGCTGTGTGATGTTGGGCAAGTTACTCAGATTCTCTTTGCCTCCTTTTTTAAAATAAGGAAAATAGTATCTAACTGAGGGAAAGTATGAAAATTAAGAGTTAATACATGCAAAGCATTTAGGAAGTTATCCATTGCACAGTAAACCTTCAGAAAGAGTTAATTACAGTTGATCTTTGAACAATGGGGGTTAGGAGTGCTGATTCCTGCGCAGTCAAAATATCTGCTTATACTTTTTTGACTTCCCCAAAGTTTAAGTTGCCCCTCAGTATTCCTGGGGGTTTGGTTCCAATACCCTCCTCAGATACCAAAATCTGTGGCTCAAGTTTATTATATAAAATGGCATAGGTCATTGCATACAGTTGGTGCACTGCATCCATGGACTCCCAACATTGGTCGAAAATAGTGTACAGGTACTTACTGAAAAAAGTTTGCATATAAGTGGACCCTCACAATTCCTACCCTTGTTCAAGGGTCCACACTGTTATTATTTAGATATGCATATTAGCTGTTACCAAATGAGAACTTCTTGACTGTTTAAAGGGAAATACAAATCAACTAATAAAATAATTTAACTTTTAAAAACTTTAAATGGCACATTATTCTATCGATGTCATTGTATTTATGGTATAATTACTATTTGTCATTTACATTGTATTTTCCATATTTTAGAACTTCGGGTCTGAGGAAGATGTGAAATGACTTAATCTAAGTTCACCCAATAAATAAGTTACTAGGACTAATACTAAAACCTGTGTTCTCTTAATTGCTTTCTTAGTTGTTGGCAGTAAATACTTTCACTGTAGCTATCATTTCTCTGTGTAAGCAGAATGCTTATTTTAACATGTATTTTTGCATTTGTACTGGGAGCCGTCTTTGAACATTCTGTTCAGTAGATATATTTCTTAGGTTAAAAAATAATGGAACAAAGGCTCTATTGTTTTAGAAATTTTTTCACTTATTTTGACAGCTATTAAAAATAAAGAAAACCCTTGCATAACAGAAGTTAAATAAGCCAATAACACTTTTGAATTATATTTTAATCTTAAGAATGTAATATGAATGGTTTGGTGTCCCTGACTGATTCTATTTTTATAGAACAATTATAGGTAAGGCAAAGGACATCCTTTTTTTAAAAAAAAAATTATTGTTGAAAGTGTTACAGATGTCCCCTTTTTCCCCCCATTGATTCCCTCCACCTCGCATCCACCCCACCCTCCAGGCCTTCCCCATTCCATTGAAGGATATTCTTCTTAACACTTATTTTACTACCTGAGATGTATAAGTAAGGTAATAACAGATCAAAATTTGTCAGAAGAATTTTGAAATATTATTTGAAACATTGGTTGAGGTCTGTTGTTGGAGGTTTCGTTAATATATGAACTTGGCCTATGAAAACTTCAGAGCTCTAAGTAATTTCATGCAATTTTAATACTCCTTGCTCTTTTAATGTACACGTTAGATTGAGTGGTTTCTAAGTAAAATGAAGTAGAGCCGGTTCTAATTATTTCCTTGGGCTCACAAAGGTGCTCTTTTCTTTCTTTCTTTTTTTTTTCCCCCCAAATACGTCTTTATTGATTTCAGAGAGAGGAAGGATGAGAGAGAAACAACAATGATGAGAGAGTCACTGATCTGCTACCTCCTGCACGCCCCCAATTGGGGATCGAGACTGCAACTCCAGGCATGTGCTCTGACCTCAATCTCCCGGATCATGGGTTGATGCTCAACTGCTGAGCCATGCCCGGCCGGGCACCCTTTTCTTTTTTACCAAACTGGGTAGTGTTGTTGATGCTGCCCCTTTGCCTTTAGTTCATATTTTTTATCTATTTAGGATAGATACACTCATGAGTTCTCTGCCAGGGCATTTTTTGAAAAAAATTCACGTTGGCAAATACTAAAAGATATAACAAGGCTTATGATTATGATTCAAGTAAAGCTATTAACATTACTCCACTTTGTTGTAGATGCATTCGTGTCAATAAGTTTCAGAGGGTTGATCCTGACGTCTTGAAAGCCTGTGAGAACAGCTGCATCTTGTACAGTGACCTGGGCTTGCCAAAGGAACTCACTCTGTGGGTGGACCCATGTGAGGTGTGCTGTCGGTGAGTTTTTGAGTTTGGTGGCTGAACTGATTACCATGCTGGAATTGACTTTATGAAATTCAGGTACTGCCTGCTTGTGTATATTTATGGCCAGAAGTTGGTTGCTTGGCTTTCTCAGATGTGGATTTTGTAAAGTACTTTTCTGGAGGTGTTTTATAGCTAAAGAACCTAAAAAACTTATTGGATAGGGTTTTCTAGAGCTTTGCCAAAAAGTTTATTGTAGACCAAGAAGTAAAATTTAGACACCTAGACTCCTGTAGGTCAGTTATCGTCTTCTTTCATTGCTGGTGCACTTGTCTTTCCCCTCTTCAAATTAGGAAAGAAGCTAATCCCAAATAATACTGGATGACTTTTGGTTGGTCTGTTTCTACTCTTGCCTCCCATTTTTAAAGTGACTGATATTTTCATGGTTTTGTTTTCATAATGGAAATTATTTTTTGTATCCTAATGAGCAGCAGAAGAAAGAATAAGCAGATTACAACAGTATGATTTGTGCTATAGTAGAAATATGTACAAAATGCAGTGGTTAATGGCACAATGGAGAAAGTTACTGCTCTGCCGGGTGCAGAAAAGACTATTGAGTAGATAGGGAATACTTGAGCTGGTTGGGGAAGGATGAGTTGCAGTTGACTAGATGACAAGATGGGAAGGACATTTCCAGGCAGGAGGAACAGGATGAACAGATGCTTGAAACCCCCTGTGAGTAATTTCCTACATCTGTTCCTTTAGGGTATTTCTCTTTAATTGTGAGGTACAATTCACCTGTTGACTGTAGTAGAGACACTTTATGATACAACCCTAATACATTGCAAAGGTACATAATAATAGCCTTTGACCTGATCTCCTACAATGAAAGTGGAGGTAAAGACATGTTTTGCCAAAAAAATACTTGGTTATTCTTTCACTGAATTTTCCAGACTACTATGGAGCTGCCTGTTTATAAGCTAGCTATTGCTTTGGGAAACCTGGTGTAGGTAGAAAGAATCTTTGGACCTAGAAACTTTCCCCTAATGATATAAGATCATTATATTAAACAATCATTATTTGACTGTGTGATATATCAACAGATATATCAACTAATTGATATTTTCATGGTTTTGTTTTCATAATGGAAACAAATGGTGTAGGTAGATTCTCCATCACTCTCTTCACCTTAGTTAGGAAAAAGAAGAGCAAGACATCTCAAGTTTTGATCCAAGAAGAGCAAGACATCTCAAGTTTTGATCCAAGAAGCTCAAACAATTTTAGATACTGGGACTAAATAAGGACTTAAGTGAGGCCAAGGTCAGACTTTGTAGACTTTGGCCACTGAACTCTTACAGAAGACCTCAGTATATAATAAATAGCTCTTACAAAGTTACTACAGTGAATTGTTTGCATTTTTATTAGGCCTGCACTTAGATCCTGATTGACTTATTTAACACAGTTCAAGTAGTTGTGTAGTTTTCTATTAATAAAAAATTACAAGCAGCATTAGAAAGGATGTTGTTCATAGTAGTCAAGCAGCACAAAAAAAGGTCATATAGTATGACATAGAGGTGAAAGGGAAAAAGCTAAAGATTTGGTACAAATGTATTATTATACAGTGAAATAATGAATGCTTAATATAATGATCTTAAATCATTAGGGGAAAGTTTCTAGGTCCAAAGATATTTAAGAAGTCATGTAATTATATATGAACACTTTGGACATATTTATTTGAAATGTTTAAACTAAATCTTGGCACCTAAAGATAAGAGCTTTAGTTATGTGGACATTCTACTTAAGTGTGTACTTCATTACTTGATGCCAGATAATGAAAAATTACTGTACTGTCATCTGGTTATAAGAAAATCATTGCATTCAGTAGCCTTCTAATTTATATACTATTAAAATTTTGCTGGATGTTGGCTGTGATGTGATTTTCCCCCCCACAGATAATAGAATTTACCTTCAGAATGTGGGGTCCTCATTCAATGATAACAGAACGCCCAAAAGAAAGATGGTTGGCAATTGAGTAGAGGTGATACTATAAGTTAGTAGAGGAGATTGAAATAGTGATTAATGCTTTTGGACCAAAACTGGAAAGAAATATTCTGAAAATTAAAACAACGTGCTCTAGCAGTTATGTAATTGAATAAATATCTGAGAGTCATTAAAAATAATAACTCAATAATTCTAATAATAACTAGAGATTAACTAAGGTTATGAAAAAAAATTGAAATGCACTCAAAGAGAACATTCTTAATAGTCTGAGTTACTTCATCAGGATAAAATATTGGAAGGGTGCCGAGTGTCATGTACTTAAAAAGGTTATTACTTAGTGAAATATTTGAGAGGGATACAGAATAGATAACAGATCTTTCCAATAAGGAGAGACAGCTTTATATCTACTCAACATATTTCTATACATTTTAAAAAATAACTTCTATGACCCTTTCTTTTCCTAATAAAGAGCAGGAAAAGAAAGGATCATAAAAATTGATTTGTTTCAAATAAACTAAACTGGCCTTAATGTTTTAGTAGTGTGTCATTGAAAAATGAAAAGTTTAAAAGTAGTTCACTACTAATTCTAAAGAATTAACTACACATTCTAATGTTACTGTAATATAGTAAACGGCTTCACTTACCATGAGGAGAGCACTCATACCAAAAGCCTACAAAGGGAAAGTTGCAGAACCTAATTGAAATTGCATGTCAAAGCAATCTGAGTTAAAACAGCTGATCCTTCAATCATTAGATGTCTGCCCTTGATTTAGATTTCTGCTTCTACAAAGACAGGGATTTTCCTCAAATTTCCTGCCTTTTTTGCTTGAAATTTTGACTTCATTAAAGGGCAAAACTGAAGGTAGGCCTAAGCCCATTGTTAATATTGACATTAACGTATGAATTAACCTTTGATTGTATAGTATCAAGATTTACTTGGTCTTTAAATGCTGGTGAGGACAGAAGGGTAAAACCCTATGCTAAGTAATCTTGAAATTATAATACATGAATTTTGTGTTGTAAGGAACTTGCCCGACTGTTCAGGCACCTTATATGAAGAAGAATCACCAACCCAAGACTAACCAGTATCCAACCAGCTCCAGTTTCCTTACCCAGCAGATAGGAAACTGAGTCCTGGAGAGATTAAATGACTTGCCCCTAGCCAGAGAGTTAGTTAATGGCAGAGCCAGAACCAGAAACGTGTCCAGTACCCTTTCTGCCATCCTGTAGCAGCTCCTTTTATGAGGTAAACTGAAAAAGAATAGAAAAGGGAGTTATGCCCCATATTTAGGTAGCATTTAGGGCCCAATTCATTCAGCCTGTGTGAATGGAAGATAGCACAGTATATAATGACACAGAACCCACCTATGAGACTACTTGATTTCTATATAAACTTTAAAAGGCTTTATTGCAGTTAGGCCTTTTACTTTATTGTAGATATCTTGATTCCAAAATAAGTTGAGACAACTTATTTGAAATAAAATTAATAGACATCAGTTAATTATGGTNAAAGGCTTTATTGCAGTTAGGCCTTTTACTTTATTGTAGATATCTCGATTCCGAAATAAGTTGAGACAACTTATTTGAAATAAAATTAATAGACATCAGTTAATTATGGTTAACCCTATTTTTATTGAAGTTGTATTTATGTTTTTTAAGCTTAGAATCACTTTGTCTTTCTAACTTCAATTACATATTGTGTAAGAACTGCTTAACAGTTTATTTCCTTTGTCCTAATGCTTACTAGGAATTGTTTCATAGTGTTGTACAGTCTATTTAAATAAATTTGTGGGTTTTTCCTTTGTCCTCTGAATGAAAACCCGTAGATTTACTGTTCATTGTGCTATTTTCCCTTATTGCAGAATTTGTTTTCCTTTTTTAAGTAACTAATAGCCAAAGTTACATACTCTAACAATTATTTTTCTTAGAGCAAGTCTTTAAAAACATTTTGGAAGGATAAAAAGGCTTGTTCATTTTACTTTTTAAAATACATTAAAATGAGAGGTAAGCAGTTATCCTAGGAACCTGTATGAGGTAAGCAATATAATTCAAGCAAAACCCCATTTTTTTCTCAACAATAGGTGGTGGTTGTTTTTTTAACCTCAACAGTTGCCTCAGTTCTTACTTTGTCAGAGTGGATATAGGAAACACAGTCCCTTTTTTTATTTAATCATGATAAAAGTAAATCTCATAGGAAATGTCTCGTTTTGTGACTTGAATTATTGGGATCTGCATTACAAGGGTCAGTTAAAAATGCATTAGATTTTACTGTACAGGCCATTTTAATGGCACATACAAAATGTAATCTAAATGATGCATTTAAATAACTATTTTTATTAGGAGGCAGTAGAAAAGAAAATTGGGAAAGAGAATAGACCAGAAATAGAAAATTGTGGCCTGCCTGTTGGCATGGAGCTAGGTTAGGATACTGTATATGTAGGATCAAGTTCTGGGAAGGTTCCTTCTTTGCCTTGGACCAATGACACATCCAGACCAGTTTAATTGTTTTTATGGACATTTTTTGCTTTGTTGATATGACTTCAAGCTTTGTGAGGTGTGTTTCTTTTCTCTCAAATTTTTAGGTATGGAGAAAAAAACAATGCATTCATTGTTGCCAGCTTTGAAAATGAGGATGAGAACAAGGATGAGATCTCCAAGAAAGTTACCAGGGCCCTTGATAAGGTTACCTCTGATTATCATTCAGGATCCTCTTCTTCAGATGAAGAAACAAGTAAGGAAGTAGAAGTGAAATCCAGTTCGATGACTGCAACTCCAAGCCCCATGTACCAGGTAACCATGAAACAGCATTTTGAACGTCCATGAGCCGGGCATGCCAAGTCATTCCATGTTGCTCAGGTCTCTCTGATTTGAGATTCTGGATTATAGTTCTTGCCTTTTCACATGAAGGTATCCTGAGTGACTTTTATCAAAGGTCTGCTTTACTATTCAATCCCTAAGTAGGATAAATATGTTTCAAAGAGTGTGGCAAAGAACAGGGGGGAAAAAACCAACTGTGGTGGTAAAACGTTCCTGATGTTTTAAAAATCCTTATATTAAAAAATAACCACTCATGTTTTTTGTAGTTTTTAACACTTTAGTTTTTACCTTTGGGTTTAACTTTCTTGTTCTCTACTTTTCCATGATTTATAAGAGAAATCTCATTAAATTATATTTCAGTTAATTTTTCACTCAAGCCAAAACAATATCTCCTGTTTTAAGTTAAAGAGTTACATAGCTGTCATACATGTACTTATAAGATATGTTTATTTACTATTTATATCCCACATGTCAAAGAACATTTAATATACCTATAAAAATTGTTAGCAAAAATACTTCTCAACAGAAAAAAACGTTTTAAAGCTAAAAATATTTAAAGAAATCTTTTGAGTTGAGCCTTATTCTGTACATGAACATTTTTCTAATTTTGAGCACAGTTGACCCTTGAACAACATGGGTTTGAAGAGCACAAATCCACTTAATGTAGATTTTTTTCAATAAATACCTATACTGTTTTCAATTTGAGATTGGGAGTTCGAGGATGTGGAGGGCCAACTGTGCATTAATCTGCACCATTTTTATATAGAGGGCTTGAGCATGTGCAGATTTTGGTATCTTTGGGCCAATCCCCTGTAGATACCAAGGGCAACTGGTGTAGTTAAGGTTTTGGGGAGTCAAGTTAATACATTGATTTGGGAAGGGGGGGGTCAGTGCACCTATATCCACTAGCAAAATATTTCATGATCTGAGAAGCCTAATTATACACCACTGTGTAGGAAGCTGGTGCAAGTGGCCAATTTTAATCTTCCTATCTACTTTTTTTAAAAATACAATTTTTGACTTATTGATTTGAGAGAGGACGAGGGAGAAAGAGAGAGAAAGACATCGATTGGTTGTTCCAGTTACTTATGCATTAAATGGTTGATTCTTGTATGTGCCCTGACCGGAGATCGAACCTGCAACCTTGGTGTATTGGGATGATGCTCTAACCAACTGAGCTACCTGGCCAGGGTCCTATCTACTTTTTCATCTTGAACCTGGCATTGCCAAGAAGTTTAAAAAGGGAGTTATCAAAATAAGGACAGAAATTCCTAGAAAGTGACAAATTGATTCTAAAACTTAAAGAGAGTCAAGTTGGAGGCCTCACACTAATATAAAGCTATTATGTTTATCAAGATAGTGTGGTAATGGCTTAAAGATACACAAAACAGATTAACAGAATAGAGAGTCTAGAAATAGATCCACATATGTACAGTTTTGTTGTTGTTTCTGTTTTTTTGTTTTTAAAATAAAAGTGCCAAAGCAGTTCAATAGGAAATGTCTTTAAGAACTGGTACTGAAACAATTGGATAATCTATATATATTTTTAAAAAGAACCTAGCCCAGCCGGGCGTGGCTCAGTGGTTGAGCATCGACCTGGGATCCAGGAGATCAGGGTTCGATTCCCAGTCAGGGCACATGCCCGGGTTGTGGGCTCGATCAATGACTCTCTCATCATTGATGTTTCTATCTCTCTCTCCCCCTCCTTTCCGCTTTCTGAAATCAATAAAGATATATATTTAAAAAAAAAAATACTAAAAAAATAAATAAATAAAAAATAAATAAGTAAAAAGAACCTAACTGCTACCTGACACTATACACAAAAAAGTTCATTTGAGATGGATCATAGACCTAAACATAAAAGCTAAATGTCTGACGTTTTTAGAAGAAAATATAGGGAGATACTAAATTTTGATGAAGTCAAAGTTATCAAAAATTTTTTTTCTGTTTTTTGCATCCCGTGGAAGAAGTCTTTGCCTATCCCAAATAATTAAAGATGTTTCCTTATAAGCTTCTATTCATTCTGTTTCTATCTTTCCTGGTTGCTTCAGAGTTGTGTTTGAGTTTATTCATTTTCATTTATTCAGAAAACACTGATTGATCACCTATTATATATAAGGTTTATAACATACAGAGTTGGGCAAAAATAGATTTATAGGTGTTTGTATGGAAAATAATGCAAAAACTAATAAATAATACAAGAATAAACTCTGCTTTGTGTACTCAGAACTGTAAACCTACTTTTGCCCCACCCTGTATTTAGACTTGACCATAGAAATGTCACTCTTAGGGTTGCAAGGTGATTATTTTTCTTTAATGAGCAGTCTGGAAACTCGCCTAGTTTTTATACAACACATGACTAATTTTTCCTTTGAATTAACTTACTGTTTTTTCTTTCCTCAGATTTCAGAATTGATATTCCCGCCTCTTCCAATGTGGCACCCTTTGCCCAGAAAAAAGCCAGGAATGTTCCGAGGGAATGGCCATCATCAGAGTCACTACCCTCCTCCTGTTCCATTTGGTTATCCAAATCAGGGAAGGAAGAATAATAAACCATATCGCCCAATTCCAGTAACATGGGTACCTCCTCCTGGAATGCATTGTGACCGGAATCACTGGATTAATCCTCACATGTTAGCACCTCACTAGCTGCTTTTGATTCTGTTGGTGTTGAAAGAAAGTAGAATAAGCCTGATTACATATTAAAAGTTAAAAATTCATACTCATAGTAGTAAAGTTAGATGGGTTAAACCATCAAACTTATTTTTATAGAGAAGTTATTGAGAATAATCTTTCTAAAAAAATATATGCACTTTAGATATGTTGGTATAGTTTGAGAAATTTTATTAAAGTTAGTCAAGTGCCTGAGTTTTTAATATTGGATTTGAGTATTTATATATTGTGCATCAACTTTGTTGCATACGAGAACACTGTAGGAGTGGACGACCTGTTCTAGCACCTTTGAGCATTTACTTTATGGAGAGTATGTAAGTTATTTATACACAAGGAAATATATTTTATGTCGTTTTAGAAGAATTGTGTGAAATCATGTAGTTGCAAATAAATAGTTTGAGGCATGGCAATGTGTGCTTCTGTTCTGTGCATAAAAAAGGGAGAAAGAATAAGGGGGATGTTTCACTTCACTGTTTAGTTAAATATTTAGCAAAGAAAAAACAATGTAAAAATTTTAATTTTCCTTTAAAACATCAACTTTTTAAAACCATACTTTTCCCAAAGGCTACAGTATCAAAGTATGCATATAAAAAGAATAAAATTAGTAGTAGCTCATTGAAAATATAAACATAATAAAGCATCTTTCAAAATATTAAAGTCACTATACATAGGATATTCCTAACCAAGAATTTGGCTTGTACTAAGTTTTGTTTCCTTTTTTTTTAGAGAGGAGGGGAGAGAGAGAAACATCGATGTGAGAGACAAAGGTTGATCTGTTGCCTCCTGTATGCTCCCCAAGCAGGGATTGAACCTGCAACCTGAGTATGTGCCCTCACTGGGAATAGAACCCGCCACCTTTTGGTGCATGAGACAACGCTCCAGCCAACTGGGCCACACTGGCCAGGGCTGGCCTGTATTAATTTTGATATGACATTTGATTTATGTGCATAATTCCATTGCATGAAGCAGCAATGTCCTTTCAGCCACTCTCATTTCTGTGCCATGTGCTTTTTCCCAACACGTTCAAGTCTTTACTAGAGGTTCAAAATAAAGCCAAACAGAACAGTACTTCAGATTCTTCAATAGTCCATACTTATACCACTGTAATGCCATCAGTCTTGTAAGTGTATTTGAACTACAAAAAAAGAAAAGGAGATATAAGAATTTGGATTTTTTCTCCCACAGTATATTTTAAAGAACTAAGATCAGTACTTTTCCCTGTCTCCCACATCTTTAAATTATTTAACTTATCAAAAAAACCATAACTTGCTAATAAATCATTAGATAGCCTTGGCTATTCTAACTGTTCCTGTTGTCATTTTTTCTGATAAATTCTGTTAACACACAATACCAGAGAAGTGCACAAATCATAAGGATACATAACTAAAGATTTGAAACTATGTGGAAATTATAGTGCAATCTCAAAACTTATTTTTAAATCTCAGATAATTTTTTTAGTTTTAATGTTATTGTACTCTGATAAGCCATATACAACTTTTAACATACTTCTAAACCATACCTACTTTTTTCCTCTGCAATACAGGGGTTGGCAAAAATAGGTTTAAAGTTGTGAGTACACAAAACAATTTATTGTATGATTTATTGTACAACTATAAATCTGCCTTTGCCTACCTCTGTACATATATAGTGAATGCCTATTCAAATTTCAGTGTATTTTTCTAGGGGTAACGACTCATAAGGGAGATTAGTTTTATTTAAGTTTGAAATTTTAAAAAATTGTTATGGGTGAGAGTTTTGTGTGATAAACTCGAACCCACAACCTGGGTATGTGCCCTGATCAAGAATCGAACCAGTGACATTTCTGTGCACAGGATGGCATCCAACCAACTGAGCCACACTGGCCAGGGCTAATATGATTTCTTATTCAATGATTGGGAAGGGAGGAAAAACAAATAACATACAAACACCTATCGTGCATTTGCCTTGCCAGAGTAGCCATTCTACAGATAATAAAAAATGGATGTTTTTAAATATTTTATTACTCTGTGCCAGTAACTTGCTTAATCTTCATAATAACCGCATGAGGAAGTATTAGTATTTCAGTTTAGAAAAGGACCTTTAGAGAAGTTAAAAATGCCCAGGATCACAGAAAGCTAAGTAATAAAGCCCTGACTTAAAACCAAGCTGGGCTTTGTAGAGCCCATGTTTGTGCCTTGGTTCAGTTCATTACCGATAAAATCTACCAATTCTTGAAACTTGTGAGAACGTTCAGCATCAAGCCAAAATTTGGGGGGGAAAGGAACAGACGCAAAGATTAGATTAAGCAAGTGAGAATGCAAAACAAAGTATCTATTGATTAGTAACTAATAAAAGTCTTGACAAAGTTCCTTATTACACACTTCAGATATTTCTGAAAAGGAGTTGACTAATAACTTGATAGCCATTTTATTTGCTTGAACTATAAATCAAATTGCAGTAGAAATTACAGCACAGTTTACTGAGGATTGAGATGACAGCTATACCAATGACTGGTCAAGGGAAAAGCTCACACTGAAGAGTGCTATTAGTAAGGCCCTAGTTTATCACAGGCTTTCTTTTTTCGTAGTTATCTGTGGTTTAACATGGTGTACAGTGTTCTCACATATTCTCTGGAGTTTGTATTCCAGTTGTGAGGTAGTAACATGGGCTCTAAAGTGGACAATATCCATGCATTACAGATGGAGCTTTATGGCATCACCTCCTACTGGAAAGTTGTCACACAAAGCACTAGTAGATGAGGCTCTACATTTCTCTTTAAAGTCTGCATACTTTATTCACTGCAGAAAGCATATCCTGCCTCCCAGTTTAATAGCATCAGACACCTTCCAGGTTCCTTTGCTCTTTCACATATAATTTAAGGGGGAACACAACTTACTAAAAGCAAATTCACCATTAGGACTTGTAGTGGATACACCACTGCTTAAGGTGGCTTGATTATTTCTTAAAGCACATGATCAGCAGAAAAGTACTGAATTTTGTTTCTACCCTTGAAAGAGGAATAGCTTACTACAGAAATGTCTTCCATAAGTATGGAAGCCTTGGGAGCCTTGCTTAAATTTCATAGGACTTGAAAATACCAAGTGTTATGACAGACATCCATAGCTTGGCTTTTGAATGTTTTAAAATATATATTGTATATGTGTTAATATATACATATATGCATATATACATTATATACTAAACCTATAGGGAAATATAGGTGGCAAGCATTTCTATCCAGGCTAGAAGTTTAATGGATAACTTCACACAATTTAGTGCCATGACTGGTAAATGTATATAAGTGTGTGGGGAAACATTCTCATACAGTGTTAGTACAGGTTTAAAGAAGTATAACCTTTCTGAAGGGCAGTTAAAATGTAAATGCACATATCCTTTGACCAAGGAACTGTACTTTTAGAAATTATCTACAGAAATAAACAAGGGGGCCATTATCTAAGTAAAAGTGTTCATTGTAAAATGGTTGTGAATGGCAAAAGTAACAAAAACCTGAGTAGCCACCAATAGATGAACAGTTAAAATATGAACATCTAGTAAAAAAACAAACAAAAATACCATGTAGTCACAAAAAATGGCTTTGTAATGACATGGAATAAAATGTTGCAAGTTGGGGAAATGCAAATGGGGAAAGAAAAATGTTATGTCTAGGATGGTGCCAGTATTGTCTGGAAAATAAAGACCAAATTGTCAACAGTGTTCTCAGAGGCAGGGGAAGGGGGGCAGATACAGAACTTTATTTTTCTACATTATGCACTCAGTCTAGATTTTTATACTGAGCATTATAACTTTGTAACTGGAGGGGTAAAAGACAAACATTTTTAAAAGCACTTAAGGCACGTTTGGTGGATCTATTTTTATTAAATACAAATACTATACATCACTGATAACCAAACTGCATGTATGTTTTGAGGATTATCTGTTACACTTCTGAATTAAATGATTGCAATGTGGTTAACAAAATTTTGTTTGATCAGTTATACTGTGTCTAGAAGGAAATATTCCAAAATAATAAATGCTTGTAATAGAGTGGTAGTGTTCCCAATTATAAATCACATAACTTCATGATAAAAAATTTAAATAGTATCTTGTGGGAGAAAAATTCCTATTATTAAGAAAGAATACTGAATACCTAAAAATAAACTAACAACAGAAAGGTGTAAGTCCTATAGAGGAGAAAAAATTATAAAAATTTGCCAAAAGACAAAAAGAACTGACTAGAAGAATATACCATATTTCTAAAATGACTCATTATAAAAGCATTACTTTCCAAATTAATATGTAAAGTCAACATAAATCATAATTAAGATCCCAACGAAGTTTTAATGGAACGCGAAAACTTGATTCAAGTTTACACGGAAGAATAATTCTCAAGAATAACCAAAATTTTTTTTAAAAGAACAATGGACAGTGGAGTATTCTTCCTTTTGCATAATTTATCAATATATACTCTAAAGTACAACCTAGGAGTGAACTAATAAACTAGTGATAGAATTACAAGTACAGAACCAGAAACATTTATACAGTCATGTGCCACTTAGCAAGGGGATACATTCTGAGAAATGTATCAAGTGATTTTGTCCTGATATATTATAGAGGGCATTTACACAAACCTAGATGGTACAACCTAATAAACACCTAGGCTATATTACATAACTGTCGGATATGTGGCCCGTCACTGACGGAAGCTACTCAGTGCATTTCTGTATACAGAAGTTTAATGTATGGTGAATGTGGCTTTACAAATTGAAATAACTTACTAATAAAAAATTAATAGTGAACTATTTTGCTATGCACTTTTCAAGTTAATTTCCTACTTCAAACCATAAAAATTCCAGATAAAGATAAAATGTAAGTTACGAAACTATAAAAGTACTGAGGAAATGAGATATTTACAGGCCTTAGTGTAGGAAAATTTTCCCCACCAATTACAGAAAGACTGGTGATTTGGAACTGAAAAAAAAAGTTTAAACTACATATCAAAGGACAAACTCCAAAGAGGGAAGACATTTCCACAAAAAGTTTACAAGAAAATGAATATTCTTAATATACAAAAAGCTTCTACACATAATTATTTAGCAGAGCCAAATATAAAGAAATACAAATGGCTAAAAACAGAAGTTGTGCTAATGGCACAGTAATGACAGGAAATAAAAGCTGAAACCATGAAGTACCATTTTTTTCCACCTAAGAAATTGACATTGAAAAGATTGTGGTTTGCAATGTCAAAACAATTTTTTAGTGTATATATCCCCTTACCCAGTAATTTAAGTCCTATATATCTAGAAAATAACCTATGGAAATACTTTTGCAAATGTATAAAAATCAATGTACAATTGATGCAGCACTATTTGCCAGAATAAAAGATTGTAATTCATTCTTAGGGTATAAGGCCAATACAAGAATAATCCGTGAC